AATATATACACACACAAGAAGACAGTGATTTTCCCTTAGCCACTTGATGAGAATCCTGGGAAGCTGGCCCTAAAAACTGCAAGTTGTGTTTTATTTCAGGCTCCCTGCCGTTAGCATCTGCTAACAATGTGTTAAACCAGATCCGTCTGGGAAAGACAGGCTTCTTTCAACAGCCATGGCAGAGCTGTCAACCCTGGAAAGGGACCAGCAGAGCATTGTGGCAAGCAGCTGACAATGGTGCCCATTGGTTGTCCACTATCAAAGGCATCCTTCATCCCTTATGGGAAGGAGTATTTTGCTGAACACACCAAAGTTCTTCCCCAACATAGTCTAAAACAATATGTAGTGTTCTAATTTGGTGGGTGTGTCTTTGAACACTTACAAGATTTTATCTATAGTCTCAAAAGGAAGCTGAGAGCTAATTCAGGGCAAATACTCAGATTTTAAAAGTACTCAAGGATTTCAGGGGAGAGTGGATTGCCATAATCATTTGAAGTCCTCTCACTTTCTTTCTGGGGCCAGGTGACTTTATCACAGGTGTATAAGATGGCCTTAATTTTGTCCACCCAGCCTCAGCGATGTAGCCAACACTAACACTGAGTAAGCCCAAACACGATGTGTGAAATAAACCAATACTGATTCAGATAAGCCACGAATCCAATCTAGGAGCGGGGAGCAGAACCAGTCCTTCCTTCCAACTCCATGTTCACAGTCTCAGTTTTTCTGAAATGACATGGAGAGCTTTAGCGCTTTAAGAACTATCTAGTAAAAGGGAGACATCCTTGGTCAACCCAAACTGCTCTCTGCTGAGACTTTCACAGCTGGGAACCTGACTGGGGTGGTGAGGGAAAGAAGGGTAGACACATGCACACCAAAGCTGAGTCGGGTAAGTTACACACACTGTGATAAGATCACACCAAATATGCAAGAATTGAGACCCTCAGCATGTTTATTATATACAGCACAGAAGGAGGGGTTAGCTGGGCTCAGTGGGAGATCTCTGGACCAATGGAAGGCTTTAGCATACCCTGAGCCTCACCCTGGAGGAAGGCCTTGCCAAATTCTCACTGGTCAGATTCATTGTTGCTTGACATGACTGTGCCCGTGTTAACGATACACATTACCCCTGAACTTTGTGCACGTTATATACTTTCATTCAAGACCTCCTCTGCTTCCCAAAGCTCTCCCTCTGATCCAGTTCTGGTTTGAGGAAATAATACTGCCATGAATCGAATTACTCCCCTCTCCAAATTCAAATCCATGGAAAGCAGTCCTGTCTGTCGCTGTACTTGGAGACAGAGCCTCTAAGGAGGTAACTGGGGTTAGATAAGATCATAGGGTAGGAGCCTAATGAGAGACAAATGCTCTTGTTAGGACACCAGAAAGTTCATTTTCCCTCTCCATATGGAGTCACAGTGAACCGTATAGAAGCCAGGGAGAGGGTCTTCCCCAGAAAACAAATTATTTTTGGATTTACTAGAACTTGAAAAGCAAATTTTATCATTTAAGATTTATCTACATAAAAACCACAGGTCTCATCTTAAAGGGAACAAGAGGCAGTTCATTCTGGAGCCATTATGAGTGACCATGGTTTGGGAACACAGATGTAGGATACCCCAAATTCCATGTTCCAATATGGATGCAGTTTCATAAAAATCTTATAGTTTTACAGAATAAAGAAAGTCATAAATCAAGGCAAATTTAAAATCCGTTGTTGGGTACACCCGAGAGGTGGGTATAACGAGATTGGATGGGAGGTGGCGGAGCTATTTTATGTGTTAAAGATGCTATCTAAAGATGTTCTCAGCTCTTGGATTGGTGGAAGCTAGTGTTCTGCTAAGTTAATCGATTCTTAAAGGTTTTATTTATTATCATGAAGTGTTAGTTCAGATACAGAGTGGGGCAGGGCATGGCTGCTTCAGAGGGCTCAAACTAGCCCAAGATAAGCCTCTGAACTTACAAAATTCCAATCTCTCCACAGTACTGAAACCCCAACCGGCCCATCAGCTTCTGCGGACACAGGCTCCTTCCGGGAGCTTTTGTTCAGTCAGACACAGTTTCTTTTCATTCACAGTTATTCAACCTAACTCGGCCCTTTAAAGCGGTCCAATCTGCCTACAGCAGATACACGTGTGAGGAGGGAACAAGGCGCTGCGATCAACCTGTCTCAGGACAAAGCATCTCCTTGTCTCCCAAGGTTCAGAATTTCGAGAACGCTAAGATGCAGCTCAGGAGATGCCAGCAAGGCGTGCGAGCACCAAGAGCACCTGGGTTTAAGTTTTAGCACCTTGG